TCGAGTGTATACCGCTCTCTCCGCCCCCTTCTTTTTTCTTCTCTTCTCTTCTTTTTTTTTCCTTCTATTTATAGCAAAATTTTCGAGATTTTTCAGATATTTTTAAAAAAAAAATTTATTATTTTATTATTTTTTAATTAAAATAAATCCCACTTACAAATTGCTTTAATTTTTTTATAAAAAGAAATCCCACCGTTCTTTACTTTTAATATTTTAAATTCTAACTTTAATTACTTTTATCTTATTTAAAATCTCACTTTTTTTTTACTTTTTAAAAGAGAATTCCATTTTATTTAACTTTTCTTAAAAAACAATCCACTTTCTTTTGCTTTTCTTTTAAAAATGCTACTTTCTTTTACTTTTAATTTTTTTTAATTTTCAGATACCTTTATATTTATTTTTTAATTCCAACTTTCTTTTACTTTTTATTTTTTTAAAATTTTCACAAAACTTTACTTTTATTTTTTTAATTTTCTACTTTCTTTTACTTTTTAAAAGAGAATTCCACCTACTTTTACTTTTATTTTTTTTATTCAATACTTNTTTTTATTTTTTTAAAATTTCCACAAAACTTTACTTTTATTTTTTTAATTTTCTACTTTCTTTTACTTTTTAAAAGAGAATTCCACCTACTTTTACTTTTATTTTTTTTATTCAATACTTTCCTTTTTCTTATTTTTTAAATCACTCCCAAAAATTAAAAAAAATTAATATTTTTTTGGATTTTTTTTATTTTAAAAATAAAAATAAAAATAAAAATAAAATAATATTAATAGTAATAATTCACCTTTTAATTTTTGTTTTTTTACCCTATAATAAAAAGTGTAACAAAGCTAAAAATTGTAGGTTAAAACCCCTAATATATTTAAATAGAAGAAGTGATAAAAAAATTTAAATATTATCAAAAATTAGGTGCTCACAGCTCCTGTTGCGCCATGTCTCGCCTAATAACCTCTCCCCAAGACTTTTTAGACCTACCTCTACCCCTCCTGCTACCCACCGAGGCTAACCGCTCGCACCTTCTAACTGGGGCTTCTATACTTTTCCTCTTAACATGCCTGAGCCATCTCAACCTCGCCTCCTGCATATTATTCTCCACAGAGTCCACTCCCACCTTTTTCCCGAATAACTTCATTCCTAATTTTATCCAACTGGGTGTGTCCACACATCCACCTCAACATCCTCATCTCAGCTACTTTTAGCTTCTAGGTATGAGAGTTCTTGACCGGCCAACACTCTGCTCCATACAACATAGTCGGTCTAAATGAGAGTTCTTGACCGGCCAACACTCTACTCCATACAACATAGTCGGTCTAACTACAACCTTGTAGAACTTACCTTTAAGTCCCAGCGGCACATTCTTATCACACAAAACATCGAAAGCGAGCCTCCACTTTATCATCCTTCTCCGATATGATGAGTGACATCTTTATCAATCTCCCCATTACCTTGTATTGTACATCCAAAATACTTGAAACTACCTCTCTTGGGGATGACATGTGTATCAAGCCTCACCTCCATATCCCTTTCCTGGGTACCGTTGCTAAATTTTCACTCCAAGTATTCTATCTTGGTCCTGCTCAACTTGAAACCTTTAGACTCTAGGGTCTGCCTCCAAACCTCCAACCTCTCGTTAACACCACCCCGCGTCTCGTTAATCAAAACTGTGTCATCAACAAATAACATACACCACAATGTGTCCATCGCCGAGGAAAATAGGAATGGACTAAGAGCTGATCCCTAGTGCAATCCCATCATAACCGGAAAATGTTCCGAGTCTCCTCTTGCTATCCTAACCCGAGTCTTAGCTTCATCATATATGTCCTTAATCACCCTAATATAGGCTATTAGGATCTCTTTAGACTCCGAGCATCGCCAGAGCACCTCCCTCGGGACTTTGTCATACGCTTTCTCTAGGTCAATGAACACCATGTACAAGTCCTTCTTCATTTCCTTATATTGCTCCACCAATCTCCTCATAATGTGAATGGCTTCCTAGTCAAACTCCCTGGCATGAAACCGAATTGGTTCTCAGAAATAGACATACTAGTCCTCACCATTGCTTCTACCACCCTCTCCCAAACCTTCATAGTATGGCTTAGCAGCTTAATCCCCCTATAATTATTGCAACTTTGGATACAGCCCTTGTTTTTATACAAAGGAATCATCGTACTCCACCTCCATTCATTGGGCATCTTCTTCGTCCTAAAAATGATATTGAACAGCCTAGTGAGCCACTCCAAACTTGCCCTACTAGCAGTCTTCCAAAATTTCAAAGGTATTTCATCTAGCCCAATAGCTCTACCCCTATGCATCTTACGCACAACCCTCTCGACCTCCTCTACTCTTATACGCCTACAATACCCAAAATCTTGACGCATCTCGGAGTGCTCCACGTTACCCAACACAATGTCCCTATCACCCTCTTCGTTCAGGAGTTTATGGAAATATGTCTGTCATCTTAATATAATCTGAGCCTATTCCATTAAAACTCTACCTTTCTCATCTTTTATACACTTAACTTGGTCCTGATCACGGGCCTTTCTCTCTCTCACCTTGGCTGGCCTGTATAGCTTCTTGTCCCCGCATATGGCCTCAAGCTCTTCATACAAATGCCCAAACGCCACAGTCTTAGCCGTAGTAACTGCTAACTTCGCCTCCTTCTTAGCCCTCCTATACGCCTCCATGTCCATCCTCTTCGTCTCCTCATCCATGCTCTCTATAAGCGTCAAGTATACCACTTGCTTGGCTTCTACTTTCTATTGTACCTCCTTACTCCACCATCAATCACCTTTATGGCCACCAGAGAAACCCTTCGAGACCCCTAACACTTCTCTCACAACTACTCTAATATACTCCACTGTCGGGGTCCACATACAGCTCGCATCCCCATTGCTCCTCCATGCTCCCATAGCCAACAACTTTTCCCCGACTCATGTGCTTTGTCACTAGTCAAAGAACCCTTCCTGATCCTGGGTTGACCATACATGGTCGTCTCCCTCCTCTTCCTTACAATCTCTAAGTCCATCACCAATAATCTATGCTGAGTCGTGAGATTCTCACTTGGTATAACCTTGCAATCCATGCACAGATTCCTATCGCACTTCCGGAAGAGTAGATAATCAAGAGGTTATTTATGGAATAAACAAAAAGTAATGTTATTAATAAAAATATTATTAAATAAAAGATTATCCATGTAAAAATCTCAGAATATTAGTATACTCCACACTCCACATACTGAAGGGGGAAATGAAATCACTTGAAACAAGATTGAACTATGGAGCAGTTGTCAAGTGGTTCTTTTTCTTTTAACACTACCAGAAAACTGCAAAAAATTGTTCACGAAAACCGATCAAAATCGATTGACGACGACAGGTAAATTCAACCAAACTTTGACCAAATTATCTGACATGTTTTATTGGAAAACTAAAAATACCAACCGAGCTTGGTCGGTATTCTGAAAAATAATTTTTAATTATTTTTTACATTAGTAACCGAGATCAGTCGATATTATAATTTTTATTTTTTTAAAATTACATATTTCCAACCGAAATTGGTCGGTAACATCAAATTTCTGGGAATTTAATTTTAAAAGTTCCGACCAACTTCGATCGGTATGCGGTCGGTTTTTTGGTTAAAAATTTAGCATAATATTATTGTTTTATGGCTGCACCACCTGCCAACAACCAATAACAACCTATAGTGGTAGTATTGCGTTTCTACCATTCAGCCAATGACAATTTCTAAAACAATAACAACAATATCAAAACTATATTAACAACATTTATAAAGTTAAAAATTCCAATAACTAAACTTTTCACAAGTTAAAACTTCAAATATAATATAAACATCATTTATAGAGTGTTTTGTACTGCATCATTTTCACTGCTAGAAACTTCATTGTCGGCACGGTTCGAAGGATCACGATGAGAAGGAGCAGCATCTAGGGAAGACTCATGAGACCGGGGAACCAGGAAAGCCCCACTAGCAAGAAGATTGACTAGCTCTTTGAAGGTATTAAATTGTTTGTCTCTCTTTTCTAGCTGACTTTGAAGGCTATTAAATTGTTGATCTCTCTTTTCTTTTCTAGCTTTTGCCTATACAACCTCTGCTGATAGCTTTGCGATCTTCTTCTCCATAGCCGAGAGAGTCGACCTATCAAGTGCCTCGCCCTGGGCGGAAGTCTATACCTTGCAATCCAGCCCTGTAGCGCCAAAATGATCTCTCTAGAAGGCTGTATTCTATCCCCTTTTTACGACCACCGACAACATCCAACAAATCTTCTGCACTTATTTGTCTGAAATGAAAGGTGGGTCGCCCTGCTTATTCGGTGGTAATCTCTTATTGTACTCCTCCACAGTAGTCTTATAGCGACCCCTTATTTAGAAGATAGAAAATTATTAATTTTATAATATTATAAACATTAATTTAATTTATAGTAGCTATTAAATTTACATAGGTAGTCTATGCCCGGTCCTCGACCCATCTACTTGGATCTGTCGGTGCCTTCTTCTTCCGGATGTGAGTCTCCATGAAGAACTCATCGTGAGTCACCTTCCTCCCATATTTGTTTCATACAATATAATAAAACCTGTTAAGTAAATTTAAATAAGTATAGTTCGATAAAAATAGATTTAAATGCTTTAAGGAATTACCAGTAGTCTCCTCGCAATCCCTATGCTCCTTGCACCCATACAGTACAAGGAGCCAGCCTTCTCAGATGCTCAGGCCTTCTTTCCTTGCTCACTCTTCTTCTTGAAATCCTCAGTGGCCATCTGCTTCAGTAGATCCTCCCATAAATGAGATAAAACCCATGAAGGCTTCTTGTTTTTCTTTCAAGCAGAACAGAAGGAATCAGCTAGTTTCTTACGACATTTGAACTCAAAATTTGTAAGAATTGCATTGTTATGCCGGTCCTCCCATGCACACTTAGTCTGGAAATAAAATGTGTAACATTAGATGAAAATATTATTAATATAACGCTTAAACAAATAAGAATTGTATTAAAACCTTAAAATTGGTTGAAAATTTGCTCCATGAGCTCCGGTGGAAAATCACTCCAAGTCGCATGCGGTGCATCATACAACCGGACAAGAGCTTCAGTGATTATTTTTGTAGTCTCATGACTAGGTATGAACCTGCACTATAACAATTATATTAAAAAAATAAGACTAGCTATTATAATTTAGGAAAAATAAAGAAGTAATAAATAAATCTTACCCATTGCCCTTAGAACTTATGATCATCCTATGATAACGATCATACCGCACTTAATCTGGATCATCATCCTCATGTGTATTTGAAGCATGCATAGAAGGGGATACATCCGGCTTAAAGCTAATATCTCAAAGACGAAGTCTAGAAATGCTAGGAGACGCACTCCGTGGAAAGGGAGACGAAGTCGCTGATTAATGCAATATCATAATCAATATGCAAAAGGCATTCAATAAATAACAGATGAACAAATCAGTGTAGGTTTTATAACACTATAATATCTAAATAGCAATTACATTATTGGAAGCTTGGCATAAGTACCTTATCTGCAGTAAATCAAACTAGAACAATCAAACATGGACTAAAATCAGCAAGCTAGAACTTGGCTATGCAAAGAACAACAACTCAACAAACAATGAAACCTCACAACGTGATTAAACTTTGAAATTCCCAGAGCATATAAAGCTGAAGAACTAAAATTTTGAATTAGCATTGTAACTCTTTTCCTTTTGTTGAAATTTTGGAGTTCAGATCTGGATTTTGAATTCCCAATTGCTACTAAGGTGTTTGAGCATGTGTAAGTGTGTGTAAGAGTATGTATGAATGTGAATGAATGAGAATGCGTGAGAAAAGTGTGATGATGATGCTCTTTTTATAACTGATTCTAGGGGGATGCCTTCAGATTTCTTTTTCTTTAAAATCCCTTCTATTTTCTGTTTTTGCCTCACTTTCCTCCCACGCGACTTGCTCCTCTTTTCCTTTTACAGTTCAATCCTTTTTCTTTTTTCTAGAAACTCCTCAATCAGTTACAAAAGATTCCCTAAGTTAAAACCTTAAACTACCATTCCAGCCCCTGTTAATTACTCTTTCCTTTTATGTTACTTTCTTCTTTTACCCCTTTCTAATTTACTTATCAAAGCTCTTTAAATGGGACTGGGTCGAACAATTTCAAACACACTACCCATGCCCAATCACACTATCTCTAACCAGAGTTAAACTATCCTAAATTGATTAATCAAATTTAGAACCCATCTTGATTAACTAAAAACGTGATGGAACAAAGTAAAATAAAGATGAATTCCAGTGAATTTATAATTTGGTAATTAACAATAAGCAACAAATAATTAACACCTAAGAATGGCATGTGGGCCTAGCTAACTAACAATTTAAGAAACTAAGGTCACAGAATTAGCAAGATGAAAGGCATGAGAGAAAAAAACTCAAAACCAACAGTCACGAGCAAATGAGGTATAGAAATATACCTATTAGAGCTCAATTTATTTGACAATAGTGGATTCCGGTAAGCCGGAGAGATTGTTACACAAGCACTGATCGGAACCTTTTCAGGGGCCAATGCTATGTGTAGCAATGCCTCTTGCTTTGCTAGAGGAGGAAGAAGTTATTGCTGGCCGGTCAATGAGAAAATGGTTGGACTTCGACGACCATGAAAAATGGGACGGGACCGCCATCAGCTGGATATACTCATCAAGAGATGTTGATTGGTGTGAATATTAGCCTCAAACGGGTAAGGTTTGAAAGGAAATTGAAAAGGGGCAATTTTAGATTCACTTGCATTTCCAGATCCACTAATCGTGGAGTTTGAGTGAGTTTTTATCACAACTCAAAATTCCCACCTTCGGGCTCGTGATGGCGCCTAATATTTTACTTTCTAGGTAAGCCAATATTAGAATAATTTATCAATTTACAATAATTTAAATTAAATAAGAAAGAAACTGAAATAACTGTAATAATCCAAAGTAAAAATACGGAAGCCATAACGACTAAAATATCTAAACAACCCTGGACCCGGTATCACAAGTGCACGAGCTAAATATCTGAATAAAATATGAAGTTGTCTGAGGGAAAAATACACAGCTAATAAAAAGGAAAAGGGACTCTAGGTGTCGTGGACGCTGAGCAGCTGTACCTCAAGTCTCCACAAAGCTAGCCAACTCGAGCTTGCTAAAAACCATCATTGGGACCGACTCCAAAATATGCACAAAAAGTACAGAGTGTAGTATTACAACCGACCCCATGTACTCAATAAGTGTTGAGCCTAACCTCGACGAAGTAATGACGAGGCTACGGCAGGTCACTTACAATATAACCTGTACGCATCATATAATAAATACAGGAGAAGAAGATACGAAACTAAATGAGATAGTTAACTGAAGAAAATAGCTAAATCCTGAAAGAAAACTAGTGATGTTCAGAATTACCAATCCTTAGAGTTTCATATGAAAAACACCGAAAACCAACACAACTTAAGGAAATACAAACACATAGATTGTTGCGGTGTGCAACCCGATCGCACTGTACAACACAATCCTTCTTTATTCCATCATAACAATATCAACAATCATAAATAAATATATGTTGTGGCGTGCAACCCGATCCCACTATATTACAAAATCAGTATCACAATTCACCTTTATTTACCGTATCAATCCACCCTTATTTCACCTGTTGCAGCGTGCAACCCGATCCCACCATATCAGTACAAATTTACCCTTATTCCACCATGTCAATTCACCCTTATTTCACTTATTGCAGCATGCAACCCGATCCCCCCATATCAGTATTAAATATTCCATGAGCACAATCAAATCAATAACTCAAATCACAAGAACCTCTACAATTGACGAATATGAAGCTAAATCAGAAAGGAAGCCTCGCACCAAATTGAGAATTCACATATGTAATATTACACAGCAAGAAAAGCCCGGTAAATGACAATTAAAAGGTGCAAATGAGTCAATTAAGGCAATAAAAATGAGTCATAAAAGCATGGAAAGGTCTAACATTTTTAACAGGAGAAACATTGATTAACAAGTAGCAAATAAAGTGTGAGAGGCATTTAAAGCACATAACAATTAAGGCATGGAAGGAAATAGTTAAGGAAAAGCAAAAAATCGGGGAAACAAGTAATCCGGCGGTGTATAAGCACTCGTCACCTTGCATATACGCCACAATACATGAAAGTCACATAGCACATAGTCCGGGGGTTCCTAGTTCCCTCAAATCAAGGTTAAACTCAACACTTACCTCATTCTGCAGTCAACTCAGAGCTCTACCGGGGCCTTTTCCCAAGAATTTACCTCCAAATCACTCGTATCTAACCACAACTGACTCGATAATGTCAAATATTGCTAAAGAAATCAATTACAATGCATAACTTTAAGGTTTCCACACTTTTCCCCAAAAAGCCAAAAATCAACCTCAGGCCCCCTTGGTCAAAACCCGAGGTTTGAACCAATGCTTATTTACCCATTCACCCCCGAGCCCGATTATGTAATCCTCAAATTGAGGTCTAAATCCCTAATTTACAAAAACTCCCAATTCTTCCTAAATCTCTAATTTTCTACCATGGAAGAACAAAGATTAGGGCTATAAATTAACAGGTGATGTTAGAAATGGAAGAAAATGAGTTAGAGTGTACAAACCTATGAATTGATGTTGAGTTTTCTCTTCTAAATCGCCTCTAGGCCGAGATCTAGCGGAAGGTTTATGAAAAATGGAAGAAATTTTGTTTTTGAACATTTAAATTATTGGGCGTCAGGCCTTCTTCGCGTTTGTGAAGGGCCTGATGCGATCGCGAAGCAGCACCTCAAATAGCCTACGCATTCGCGAGATATCCTTCATGTTCGTGAAGGCTTACACCCACCTGGATACATGTTCGTGAGCCTTGTGCCGCATTCACGAAGAGTAATGGTCAGTTCCCAGCCCCCACGTCACAACACTACGCTTTCGCATAGATGTGGACGCGTTCGTAAAGGGTAGTCCCCCCCACTGCTCCGCGATCACGTCCTACGCCTCGCGTTCGCGTAGGCTTATTCCTTCTCCAGCCCAGATCACTCTTCGCGATCACAAGAGTAACTTCATGATCGTGAAGAAGAAAACACGAGAAACCAGTAGAAGTTTAAAACCAGAAAATTTCCAAGTTCAAACCATTCGTAGCCTATCCGAAACTCACCCGAGCCCTCGGGGCTCCAAACCAAATATGCACACAAGTTTAAAAATATTATACGGACTCGCTCACGCAATCAAAATACCAAAATAACACCTAGAACTATGAATCGGACACCAAATCAAATGAAACTTTTAATGAAACTTTAGAATTTCTATTTATACAACTGGATGTTCGAATCATGTCAAACTAACTCCGTTTTTCACTAAATTTTGCAGACAAGTCCTAAATTTAGTAATGAACATATATCAGCTCCAAAACCAAAATCTAAACCCGGTAGCAATAAAGTCAAACCTTGGTCAAATCTTTAAATCCTTTAAACCTTTAAACTTTAAATTTCGACAAAAATAAGCGATAACTCAAGCTAGGGACCTCCGAATTTGATTTTGGACATACACCCAAGTCTTAAATTACGATACGGACCCATCGATACCATTAAGACATGAATCCAAATTTGTTTGCTCGAAACATTTACCAAAGTTAACTCAAAATAGATTTTAAGGCATATTTTTATATTTTATCAATTTTTAACATAAAAGCCTACCAGAAAAAGACATAGTCTGTGCATGCAAATCGAGAAAGGCTAAAATGAGGTATTTGAGGTTTTGAGACACATAATTAAGGTTTAAAACACTAGATGACCCATCGAGTTCAATTTTTGAGGAAGATGATGGTGGATTAGGGATAGGGAGGTAGTAAGGAGTGTTCGGTGAAAATTTGGAGTGATTTAGAGATGGACCCCTGTTGTGAGGCTATTTTCAGTGAAGGTCAATGGTGGTCAACACGACGGCTAACGGCGGAAGGGGCGGTGGAAATGAATTCCAGCCCCCCTAAATTCTAAAATTAGGCGGAGGGTTTGAGAGAATTTAGGGAATGAGTGTAAAGACTGAATTTTTATGAATTTGTTTTATTAAAAGGAGGTCATTGGCAAAACAATGTAGTTTAGAGCGAAGACTACATCATTTGGCCATCTGAAGGGGTGGGATTCTTGGATTGGGTCACAAGTAGGCTTTGGCAAAACTAGACTACCGGATTTTGGGCCCAAATCGATCTGAAACTGAAAATGGACCTCTTTCTTTTCTTTATTCAATTTTCAAGTCTAGCCAACTTAATTCTAATTGAAACTATTTTGTAGATTTGACCTACTAAACTAATGAAACTTGTGGCATAATAACTAATTAATTAACCTAAGATCATATAATAAGAGTAATTAAAAGTATTATGTGATTTTTCATATTTTAGAGTGTAACGACCCGACTGGTCGTTTTGAGCAATTGCACCTGGTTCAACAGTTTGAGTTCAAGAGCAGATTCACATTATGTATATTGACTTGTGTGCAGGGTTGGATTCAGTTTCCGGATGAATCGGAGTCGAATTGGAAAGAAGGAATATAGTTCTAGAAGCTTAAGCGGAGAGAACTTGACCGGAATTTGACTTTTGAGTAAACAACTTCGGAATGGGTTTTGGATCATGTCAGTAGCTTTGTATGGTGAGTTTGGACTTGGGCGTGTGTTCGGATTTGGATCTGGAGGCCTATAGGGTAATTTGAGGCATTTCAGTGAAAGTTGGAAAAGTGGAAGTTTGAAAAATGGAGAGGTTTGATCCATAGTTGACTATTGTGTTATAGAGGTCGGAATGCGATTTTGAAAGTTGGAAAAGCTTTGTTATGTCATTTGAAACTTGCCTACAAAATTTGGTGTCGTTTGGAGTTGATTTGATGTGGTTTGAACGCTTGGTTGCAGTTCTAGAGGTTCTTGAAGTTCATAGTGATTTTCATGCATTTAGGCATCTGATTCATGGTTTTAGCGTTGTTTGACATGATTTGAGAGTGGGGCTAATTTTGTATGATGTTATGGGATGTGTTGGTACATTTGATTGAGGTTCTGGGGCCTTGGATGAGTTTCAGGTGAGTTTTGAGCGAGTTCGGACATTCCAGAACTTAGAAAATGGTTCTGATGCTTAAATCTTTGCTTGGGGCAGAAGTCTTATCGTTGAGGCGGATGTTTTTCCGCTGAGGCAGAAAATAGTCCGCGGTTCGCGGTGAGGAAGAATCTGCAGGTTCATTGGTCTGACTTCGGAAGCCTATATCTTTTTATCTATAAGGAATTTTGAGATGATTCAAAGAGAAAGTTGTAGCCCTTCGTGTCTAGTTTTCATAAAGCTGAAGAAATCACAATTTGGACATCTGTAAAGAAAGTTATGGCCAAAATACTAAAGCATGTCACTGCAGTCAACATTTTCCACTGTAGCAGTAGATTTTTCGCGACCAGCGGTAGTTTTTTCGCGGTCAGCGGTGATGGAAATCTGAGAGGTGCACTATAAATACAAGATTTAGGGGTTTATTTCATATTTTGACCTAGAGAGCTCGGATCTTGGCGATTTTTCGAAGGTTTTTCAAGAAATTCATCAGGGTAAGTGATTCTAACTAGGATTTGGCTAAAATACATGAATCTATCATTAAATTCATCATTTGATTCGTGATTTGGGATGAAATTTGGGAAAATTTGTTAAAAAAAATTTGTAAAGTTTTTCAAAAATGTAA